GGCCCAAAGTCTCCCAGTTACCTTTCATGCCTAAGGCGGGACTAGAACTCCCTGTCTCCTGGTGATTGGCCCAAAGTCACCCAGCCAGCTTTCGTGCCTAAGGCAGGACTAGAACTCACCATGTCCTAGTGTTTGGCCCAAAGGCAGCCAGCCGCCGGCTTCATTCAGTGCTGGCTGGGGAATTCTGGGAAGTGAAGGGCACCCTTGTTAGGTTGACCAACGCATCTCTGCGCATCCTTTCTGTGTGTTGCAGGAAGTCTTTCATCGACTTTATCTGATTTATACGGTTGGTTATTCCATCTCGCTGGGATCGCTGACAATCGCAGTTATGATCTTAGCATATTTCCGGTAAGTTGGCGCCATGGCTAGTAGGTCCCCTTTTTTCTGTGAGGGTTGCTAAGGAGGTCAAAAAAGTCAAAATGGCAGCTACAGCAATGCCAATTCCCCAGCCCTTGAGAAGGTCCATCCATCCCGTCACATGTCCAAGCAAAGGGGCAAGGCTTCCATTGCACTGTATTTACAACCATAGATTCCTAGAACCCTAAAGGCTGGAAGGCACTTGGAGGTCATCTAGTCCAACCCTTTGCCCAAGGCAGGGGATCTTATACCATCTCAATCAAATGAATGTCCAATCTTTTCCTGAAAAGCTCCTTGCCATCTTGACTTATTTGACCCACATACAGGCCAACATTGGCTTTTAAACAACTTTTTAGCTGCCTTAAATGGTTTTACATTGGTTTTATGGGGCTCTTAAGCCATTATTTTGCATTTCATGTAATGAAAGGGTGATTGTAGCAAATGCAGTATAGAAAATCCTAATTTTTTTGCTTGTTTCCAGTCTGTTCATGCACTGTGCCCTATATCTTGTTTATTTCTTTAGGTTTCTAACTTTATATAAGCTGCCATCTCATAAAACAAGTGAATTTTGTCCTTTCTTTTCTTTTATCTTTTCTTTTCTTCTTTCTTCTATGTTTTGTTTTGTTATGCTATTTTTCTATTCTAACCTATTCTACTCTGTTCTGTTCTGTCCTACCTATATCCTACCCTAGCCTCCTATTCCATTAAACTTTTATTTTATTTTCGTAGTGTATTTTTATTTTATTTCATTATTTCATTATTTTGTTTTATTTTTATTTTTTTCTTGGAAAAGAATTCCTTATATACAAGTAGCCCTTGACTTAACAATCACAACTGAGCCTAAAGTTTCTGTAAAGCGGTTTCTTGCCACCGTAGTTAAGTGAATCCCTGCAGGTGTTAAGTCGGCCCATTCACCTGGCTAGTCAGAAAGTGGCAAAAAAGGATCACATGTCTACCAACCCCCTCCCCCAGGACACTGCGACCGTCATAAATAGGAGTCTGTTGCCATGTGTCACGTGACCACGGGGATCCTGAAACAGTCGTAAGTGTGAAAAATGGTCCGAACGGTCCCAACGGACAAAAGATACAAGTGTAATGATTTAAATTGAGATTAAATAAAAATGGTCCTAAGTCCCTTTTTTTTCCCAGAGCCGTTGTAGCATCAAACGGTCGTTAAACGAACCACCGTGTTCCAAGGACTTACCCGTGGTTAATTTTAATTTTTATGGCTAATTTATTCTTTATTTACCGATTAAATTTAGAAGCTACCCCTCTTGCCATCAAGTAGCTTAGATTGGCTTGTGTTTGAGTCTGCTTCCGCTGAATTCAAGTCACTGGTTCGAATCCCCACTCCCGGTGTGTGTGTCTGTGTGTCAGCCTGTGAACAAATCCCTTGCAAAGATTTATCAAGAGTCCTGAACTTTCGCATGTTTGTCTTGTTCCAGACGTTTGCACTGTACCCGGAACTACATCCACATGCATCTGTTTGTCTCTTTCATTCTCCGGGCGATCAGCATCTTTGTGAAGGATGGTATCCTGTATTCCGGTTCCGCCCTGGAAGAGATGGAAATAATCAAGGAGGATGAGTTCAGATCCATGACGGAAGCTACCCCAACGGATAACTCCACCCTGGTTAGCCTCTCCCACTTGTCAAACGTCCTTCGTGTCCCAGTAAAGGAAGGACGGAAGACTTCCTTGATGGATCTGATATTTTTATTCTGCTTTTATTACTTTATCAATAACTTGTGAGCTTGCCTGTTAGGCCTTCCTCCCACTCCCATTTCCCCCCTAGCAATAACCTTCCAAGGTCGGGCTGAGACTGAGAGAGGGACTGGCCCAAAGTCTCCCAGCCGGCTTTCATGCCTCAGGCGGGACTAGAACTCACCGTTTCCTGAGGATTGGCACACCCGACCAGCTTTTCTGCCTCGAGTGGGACTGGAACTCACTAGTTTCTGGTGATTGGCCCAAAGTCACCCAGCTGCCTTTCATGCCTCAGGCGGGACTAGAACTCCCCAACTCCTAGTTTAAACAACCTGTTAAATGTCAAATCTGGTCCATCTATGATGCCCAGAGGAAGACTTATCAATATTGTCAATTAATCCTCCCTTCTCTCCCTTCCTCTCCCTCCCTTCCTCTCTTCCTCTCCCTCTCTCTTTCTCTCCCTCTCCCTCTCTTCCTCTCCCTCTCTTTCTCTTTCTCTCCCTCTCCCTCCTTCCCTCCCTCTCTCTGTCTTTTTCTATTTCTCTCTCTTTCTCTCCCTCTCTTTTTCTCCCTCTCTTTCTCTTTCTCTCTCTTTCTCTCCCTCTCTTTCTCTGTCTTTTTCTGTTTCTCTCCCTCTCTCTTTCTCTCCCTCTCTTTCTCTTTCTCTCCCTCTCCCTCCCTCCCTCTGTCTTTTTCTGTTTCTCTCCCTCTCTCTTTCTCTCCCTCTCTTTCTCTTTCTCTCTTTCTCTTTCTCTCCCTCTCCCTCCCTCCCTCTGTCTTTTTCTGTTTCTCTCCCTCTCTCTTTCTCTCCCTCTCTTTCTCTTTCTCTCTTTCTCTTTCTCTCCCTCTCCCTCCCTCCCTCTGTCTTTTTCTGTTTCTCTCCCTCTCTCTTTCTCTCCCTCTCTT